CCGCATTGTAGTCCCCAAATAACACACAAGACACTGTATTAATTATGAACTGTTGGCCTTGCTTGTTTCTTACTGGCTAGCTCTGACTTAAGTATTTACTCCATAATTATTAATCTAAGTATTTCTCTTACCGGAGAATAGGGCCCGGACTTCTTACCCCTATGGCAGCTAAATGGTGACTCCCTGTGTTTCTCCTTCCCAGAGTCCTCCTGGACTCCTAGTCCCACCTATCTTGCTTCCCTATTGGCCAACAGTGCTTTATTGACATATACACAGGACTTCCCCATCAGGTAGACTATTGTCACAATGTGAACATGGAGGTGAGAGGACCACTCACGGAGTTGGTTCTCTCTTCTGCCACACGGGTCCCAGGAATTGAACTCAGATTGTAAAGCAGGTACCTTTACCCCCAGCCATCTTGCAGGCCTCTTGTTTATGTACTGAAAAGTACCTTTGCTCAACAATGTTTCTCTGCTATCTTTAGAGTTTTTGGCCTCTTGAACTTTGCTTTCTTTGCAAGTTACTACCCAAGGTTCTGGCTTATGAATAGTGTCTACATTAATGATCTGTTGGCTCCATACTGACAGAATAAATGTTACCAAACAGCAGTATCAAATACTAAAGCATTCTTTGCCACTTGTCTTGAAGAATAACAACCACACTTTTATCACAAGGGAATGTTGTGTGAATTTTTACTCTTGGTGACCAGACCTCACTACAGTTGATTGACTGTAGGGGAAACTTGATTCCGATCTCTGATGTGTAGACTTTGTCCTGCAGATAAAGAGTTACAACACCTTCTAAGCAATGCAGTGCTGTAGATAAAGACATATTCTAGAAACACTGCCTTGAAGACAGCTTGCAAGAAGGTATATGAGCCATCAAAATGAACACATTTAAAATAATTCTCAAGGTGAGTGCTCAAAATGAAAACTTTTCTACTAACTCTTCCCCTGCAGAATCAACTCTTATTTCAATCAACTAATAGGTTGTGGGGCCACAGAGATTGCTTAGTGGTTAAGAGCACTGGCTGCTCTTCTAAAGGACTTGGGTTCAGTTCCCAGCACCCACATGGTGGTTAACAGCCATGTAATAATTGTCTGTAACTCATTCTTGTGGATCTGATGATTTTTTTTTTTTTTTGGCCTGCATGCCTCGGCCTTTTATAACTTGAAGTAATGGCAAAGGTGTGCGTCATTTTCCTTTTGAAGATTAAAAAAAAAAAAAAGAGTGTGTGTGTGTGTGTGTGTGTGAGAGCACATGCGCGTGCGCAAGTCCCATGGCTGTAGTTACAGGATGTTGTGAATTGCCTGATGAGGGTGCTGGGAGCTGAACTCTGGTCTTTGGAGAGTACATGACCTTAACCACTGAGTGACCTTTCCAGTTTTGTTACTTTACTTTACATGATTGTGTTCAAGACATGAAAACCATATCTGTTGCATCGTACATGCAATATTTTCTACAAGTGTTTACCAGATTCTAAATTGAGAGATTAAAAAACACTTAGGGGTGCTTAGAGAGATGGCTCACTCAGAGGTTAAGAGCATGTATTGCTTATATCCACAGCCACATCAGGCACAACCACCCGTAACTCCAGCTCCAGGGGAGCCCCTAGTCTCCAAAGGCCCCTGCACTCACATGGACATACCTACAGACAGACACACATGATAAAAATACATCTCTGAAAAATATTTAGGAAGTATCTTGTTTGAAACATTCTAAAATCTTAGAAAGACTGAGGCAAAAGGCATCCATATTAGGGACAATTCAACTTGTGCCTAATTTAGTAAATAAATGAATTAACTAGCAACAAGTCTCACTATAGAAGTTAGAGGATGAGATGACTTGTTGGATGACTTGGAGAAAATGACTTTTCTGTGTACAGTGCTATTCTCATTATAGATATGAAAATCAAATGTGTATGTTGATGGGTTTTTGAGCCCCTTGAGCACAAAAAAGCTACAAAAAGTAAAGGTGAAGTCACTTCCAAATCTATTATTTTTCCTGATTTCCCCCCCTATCTGCCATCATTTCTAATTAACAACGTTCCATGAACTTGGAGTGCCTTTCTCCACAAGTGTCTCAGGCAGTTTTTATAAGAATTGCTTCAACTCCATCCAGGGCTGTGAGTCAGCATTTTACCTAGGCAGAAAATCAAGATTACTTAAAGTAAGTAATGTAATCTTTCTGAAAGACATGCACATGTCCTTGGAGGAGATTTAAGAAGAATTGGGGTTTCGAAGCTTATGAATAGTTTATTACATTTCAGCAACTGCATTGTGAATCAATAAAACAAAAGTTAAGGATAATGAGCTCAAGCTATTGATTCTTAAGTTCCAAAATAGAACCTTACAGGAAAGCTATGAAAAAAGGATTTCAGGGTGTGTGCGCAACAGGAATTTGAAGTGTCAGAACAGACTCAGGGAAGATTCCTCAGCTACCTCAGATGTCTAGTTCTGGTCATTAGAAATATTTATTTTTCATTTTAAAAATACCTTAAAGATTTTACTATTTATTTTTTATCTATGTATGCTGGTGCACATGGGAGCCCTGTACAGAATGTTAGGGTCTATCCATGCTGGGCACTGAACCCAGGTCCTCCTGAAGAGTAGCAAAAACTCTTCACTACTGAGTCATCACTACGTCCTAGTTTATACTCTTAAAAACATATTTTAAAGTCAAGTCAGAGGAGTTTGCAAAAACCAGTGTTGCCTTTTACAAATGAGTCATTTGTTTTCCCAATTTCTTTATTTTTGTGACTGGGTCTCTTGATAAAGCCCTGGCTGTCCTTGAGTTTGCTATCTGGACCAGGGTGACCTGCAAGCGACAGAAATCTGCCTGCCTCTGCCTCTTGAGTGCCGGGATTAAAGGAATGCGCCAGTATGCCCAGCTTGGATCCAGGGTTTTCTTGCCTAAACACATGGCAGATCTGAGTCTTCCAATGAAGGGGAAAAACAAACAAACAAACACACATACACACACTAAGTAGAGTCCAGGTTGCTTTATATCAGGAAGCAGCTGTGGAAGCGGGTCTTTAAAACTCAATTAGGTGCGTGTATGGTCCGTTGGTATCCAGTTTTAAGACTTGCCTGTTCCCGTAGGTGCCGTGCGCCACGACCACGCCCGCCTCCGCACACTTGCTGTTGGCGGCTAGCGCTTTCTCACACAGACACACGAACTGAGAGTACAGTTCCGAGCCTTCCTCCTTCCCAGAGTTACAGTGATACTGCATGCTTCTTCCCTTCACCCTGCCCCCGAGCGTGGCTTGGGGGATGATAAGAACGTCACCAGGCAGATCCAGGATAGAGACGTGTTTGCCGTTTTCTGTTTCACTTAACTTCACGTTTAACAGCGTATTAACTGGGTAGGGGAAAAAAAGGTAAAACATTTTGAAGTGAAAAACAAACATGAAGAAAACCATCAATCTTTTAATTGGTTACCAAATTTCATATTTAAAACCTGTTTAAAAACTCAGTTTCTATATGTTAAAAAGGGCGTTTTACACACACACACACACACACACACACACACACGAAAATTCTGATTTTCATACAGAAAATACCAAGGTGCTTCAAATGTGACCCAACAATTAGGCTCTCCTACATAAAGTTCATACAGAAAGGTCTATATTCAAAAATTTAACTGTACATTAGAACCTCAAATATTGCTGCCTCTGGGGAACACATGAATGTTTGTTTCTCTGCTTGTTTTATTTCATAAACAAATATTCCCTGGTTCAATTTCATTATAAACCAGATGATTTTATAATCTCACAATTTTAGGCACTATTTACATGGACTAACACTTTCTAAATAAGGCTTATTGGGGAAATGCAAGGGCAAAATTCATTATTACACTTTAAAATGTAAACAAAAGATACAGAGCTACTGACAGCATAAATGTGTATGTGTATGTATATGCATATAGTGGAGGCTGGTGTGTATGCGTATGTATATAGTGGAGGCTGATGTATATGTGTATGCGTATGCGTATGTGTATAGTGGAGGCTGGAGAGAAGACTGGGTTGTTAAAGTACTGGATTCTCTCCCAGAGGACTGATATTTGGTTTCCAACATCCACATGACAGCTAACAACTGTCTCTGACTCCAGTACCAGAGGATCAATGCACTCTTCTGGCCTCTGCAGGCAATGCAGACACATATGTGCAAGCAAAACAGCTATACACTTAAAATAAAATCTCATAAGCCGGGCGTTGGTGGCGCATGCCTTTAATCCCAGCACTCGGGAGGCAGAGGCAGGCGGATCTCTGTGAGTTCGAGGCCAGGCTGGACCGACAGCCTTGAAAACAATACAGAGAAACCCTGTCTCGAAAAACCAAAAAAATAAAAATAAATAAAAAAATAAAATCTCATAAACAAATGAACAAACAAAAAGCCAATCCCCAAAACTGCATGGTGATGTTTTTCATAGCACTGAGATTGTTTACCCAAATCACCACAAACATATATGTGTATTTAGAAACCTAAATTCAGAAAACCTTTTTTCTTCCTTTCTTTTTTCCCGAGACAGGGTTTCTCCATAGTTTTTGGAGACTGTCCTGGAACTCTCTTTGAAGACAAGGCTGGCCGAGAACCCACAGAGATCTGCCTGCCTCTGCCTCCAGAGTGCTGAGATTAAAGGCGTGCGCCACCACCGCCTAGCCAGAAAACCTTTATATCTCATTAACCATTTTGAAGTAAATAAGATTTATATAGACTTAGGTTCTCCCTCCCTCTACAAAGGTAAACATGAACTCTTCTCATGAAGAACAGAGCAAGTAGTAAGGAATTCTATAAACCTTACACGCCTGTCCTCAGCCCATGCTTTAAAGGTACTCTTTCCACTAGGCACGAAACAGCACGGAACAGCCTTTCATCCCACGTAGACAGATCTTTGAGTTCCAGTCCAGCCAGGGATACATAGACTTTTTTTTTTTACTTAGAAAGTGATTTAATGTATTTAAGACAAAATAAAACATCCTTAGAATTTTTTTTCTTGTTTTTTTTTTTTTTTAAGACAGGTTTTTGCTGTGTAGCTCAGACTGACCTGGAACTTTCCATCTTGCTGTCTCAGCCTCTCGGGAGGGTGTTGGGATTACAGGATCTGGGCTGCCAAACCCAAGTCCCTGAAACTCTTTTAGTGAAAAAAATATTTTGAGAAATTCACAACTTTTCTAAAATACTATGTTGCTAGCTGCTGAGGTAAACAATTCAATCTAGAAAATTCCTCAGAGGTAGTCCTGGATTGGACAGCTCCCAACCTCTGAACAGAATGGGTGGCCAGGGCCGTCTACAGGGCTGGATGCAGGTGTGGGTGGCCAGGGCCGTCTGCAGGGCTGGATGCAGATGTGGGTGGCCAGGGCCGTCTGCAGGGCCGGATGCAGGTGTGGGTGGCCAGGATCTCCACTTGATTAGATCCAGCACCCTCAGAAGCGGGGCTTTCGCTTGTGGCCCGTGTACTGGGTGTCAGGTCTGGCCTCCTTGCCTTGGCACCTGCGCCTCTCCTTCTTCTCTAGAACCCATTCCCTGCTCTTCTTCAGCAGGTCCCGCCGTGCCCTATAGTGCGGGGCCCTCTCACTGGTGAACGCGAACTCAGTGGCCTGGTCTGCATCCTGACTTTCAGTCAGCCCCTTTGGCAGGGAGGTGGAAGGCCCAGAAAACAGACAGAGGTAGAACTTCTTTGCTTTGGCACTGTTGGGGAAGTCCACCACCACGCCACCGGCAAAGCCCGCCCTTGTGGCCTGGGCTGTGATCAGCTCCAGCTGCTCCGAGTTCTCAGGGTACAGCTGCAAGCCGGCTCGGGCCCTGTGGACAAGGGCGGAGTACAGAGAAGAAAAGAAGCAGTAGAGGCGCCTGGCAGGGACGTCCGACTTCTTGTTTGCATTGCAGAGCCACTGAACAGCTGAGATGCTAATGCAGCCATCAAAAGAACCCGGTCTGAAAGCGATCCCCTGGCCCAGGCCCCCGAGCAGCAGGTCTCCCTCTATGTCTCGGTCCAAGCCAGCATCCAGCATGGCAGGGCTGATGTCAATGCCCACCCAATAGTGCCCCTCTTCTGAGATAAAGTCTCCACTCAGTCCAGAACCGCAGCCAATGTCCAACAGAAAAGAGGGCTGAACCTCTGGCAAACAGAGAAGCTCCAATGCTCGCTCAGTCATCTTGGCCTGGATGTCAATCATCCGTGTTGCGAACGTATTTCCGGGCTGCATTCTGGTCATAAAACAGCTCTGGCGGCCCGCTGTGCTCGGGTCTGCCGCTTCGAGACGCCATCTCCGGGGCACCGCAGCAGCACGCTGGTGCCGGCCCATAGACTTTTTTTAAAAAGGCATGTTTTCTAGTCTGGTTGATTTCAATTACTACATATTCTGTAGTAAACACCAGTAAGGAACTGGCTATTACCCTACTCTACTAATCGTGGTAAAGATCAGTCGATTCCTAACCTAGGTTGCAAGCCTCATCACTTTTCAAAGCCTCGTCACTTTTCATTTAACTAACATTTCTCTTTAAACACCTGTGTAATTCTCTGTTGTGAACAGGACCCTGCCTTATAGCCAGCAGCCCTACTGACTACATCTCAGGAAACAGAAACTCTCCAGAACATCATCGCAACTGAAATTACTATTTAGCTACCCAGGCTTCAGGCTCATGACACACTAAGTTAGCAATTTTGGATTAATAGGCATTGAGCAGGAATACCATTTTTTATTATACTTTCACACACCTCCCTCTACTGGCTGTAACTGAGAACTCACATGTCGGTATGTAGAAGTAAATACAGCAGAAAGAAATAGAAGCAAGTTAAACTGAAATGAGATGACAATTAATAGCATGTTAGAAACTTAAAGAACGTAAGATGGGTTAGTAAATACCCCCAGTGACATGGACAGGAAATCAAGCTTTGACAGACCCCTGGTCTTGGTATAATTATACTGAAGACGAACTGAGGAAGAGTCTATACATTTCTACGATAGCTATGGTATTTCAGACGTCATGGACATAGCTGGTTATATAAGGCTTGATTGGACAGGTCTGATCCGTGAGTAAGTATGAAGTGGGCTTTAAGAGAACCTCATCACACTGGCTCACTCATGGAACAGAGGGGAGTACAAACTACTCTCTCAATAAATGCTTGTTTGTTACATGATTCACAAAAAGACTTAGGGTAGGTGTCCTCTGCATTTTCAATAGTCTTACACATGTATTTAGAGTGAACTCATAAAAACAAAGGCAGAAACATACAGGTTTAGTCACTGTAAAACAAAATGCAGCTTGGGTTTGGTGGGCTTATTTTACCTCATTATATAATTAAGACATAACAAGACAACTTTGCAAGTCATTCTTTGTTTTTTTGAGACGGGGTTTTGAGTTCCTGGGTGTCCTGGAACTCCCTCTGTAGACCAGGCTGACCTGGGACCCAGAGATTTGCCTGCTTCTGCCTCCCAAGTGCTAGGACTAAAGATGTGATCCACCACTGCCCAGCTACAAATGACCAACATTTTATTTTTGTATTTGAAGAATATTATTACATTCCTATGGACAACAGGAACGACCAAGGTAAAATACTAATTTAGGAAAATGAGCAGAATGTTTGACACCTCAACATCAGGACCTGACAAATACCTCCAGGTCAGAAGGAGCTCCATCTCATCTTCTCAAGCCCTCAAAGGCTTCTCCTACAGGTTCAGATTCCAGACTATTATAGTCACTAGCTTCCATCCTCACCCGTCACAGTCCTTTCCCAAGTAGTTTTCACACCTTGACAAAGTTGTCAGGCAAGTTTGATATATCAGAGCAAAATTTCCTTAGTTTTGACTTTCTGGATAAGGTGTAATCAATGGGTTATGTGCCCATGAGTTTCATTTTCATTAATCTTGTCTAGGTTAACTTCTGAGAGCTTTAACTATCTGCTTATATTGTTTTTTCTTTGGTGACATGGCCAGCTCTCTTGTTCAGAGGCTGGCTTCTAACCCCAGTCCCCCGATTAGTTGGAACTATAGGCACATGACACTGTGCTCAGCTTAAATTACTTATTACTCTAATTTGTGCCATATTTTACCAGTGAGGAACATATAAACTACCCCCCAATGTTAGGAATAGTTCCATTATTTCAGGATTTTTTCTGAGCATAACTTTTGAACCAAATACTGCCTTATAACAGTATGTGATTTGATTCAGTACATCTGAACCCATGGGATTATCTATCACAAGGAATGTGCAGGGCTGTGGACTGTATAGAATACTGGAAAGCTGTAGCAGCTAAGTTAGGTCCCTGAACATTTACTCTGTTTTCTATATCCTCAGAGGAAGTATGGCTGTGACATCACTAAGACTGATTCAAGAACCAGGAAAACTACGTTTATATATTTATATAAAACCTAACATAAATGGTTGCTATAAATTCTCCTGTATCAGTGATATAAGGCTGAGTTGTCTAGATTTGATTCGACACACATGCTGTATATACATACATTGTCATTGACTGTCCCTATGAGGGATGCTCTTATCTGATGGGGAGAGGGATGGGACCATGCAGGATGAGGGGGACAAGAGGGTAATGGGAAGTAAATAAGGACAAAGTACATGATATGCTTCTATAAAACCTGTCATTTTGTAAAATGAACGAACACACACACACACACACACACATACACACACGCACGCACGCACACACGCACGCACGCACGCACGCACACATTCGGGGCATGGTAAAGAAAGAAAAGCAGCATCTGCTTGGAACTCCATGGCCTCCCACTCTCACAACCCTCTGCACTCTGGGCAGAAAGTGTGTTGTGCATATGGGCTCACGTGTCGTCTACAAACCACCCGCAATACTGTGATATTTTAAAAGAATTTCACCATATGTGCATCCTCTAAATTTTACAATAAGCAATATAATTAATTAATATACCAGAACAATTTAGGATCATGCTTCTCGGGGCTGCAGAGATGGCTCAGTAGTTAAGAGCCCCTGCTGCTCTTCCAGGGAGCCTGGGTCCCAGTCCCAGCAGCACATGCAGGTTCCAGGGGAATCTGATGCCCTCTTTGGCCTCTGAGGGCATCAAGCATATACGCGGCAGACATACAGCCAGGCAAAAACACCAATACACAAATAAAAGAGAAGAGAAAGAACAAACCAGCCAGCTACCCCCCATGCTCCTGGAGCTGGGCCTGCAATCCTAGCAACTCTGGAGGCTGTAGCAGAAAGACTGCACTCAGCACCCTCCTGGGATGTAAAAGGAATTGAAGGTCAGCTGGGTAAATTGTCAAGACCTGATTTAAGATTATTAAGAAAAACTAGTTTACAAAGAATTAGGTCTCATTATGGTATTTTTTTTCATTCAAAACGTTTTTGTTCAGATGTTAATTGCTAAAAAGGGCTTAGGACAGATACAGTGCAATGAGGGGCACTTCTTAACATGCTCTAGGCCTGGGCTTCGATTCCTAGCGCTACAACAAACAAAACAAAAAAGTAAAAACAAAATAAATCATGCTCATCAGCTGAGGTCAGTGGCAGAGCACTTGCTTAACATGTGTGTATTCAGAGGCAGAACTTTTCTTTTGTCCTGACTGCCCAGTTTCAAACAACCACACAAAAGCTTATATTAAATACAGAACGCTCGGCCTATAGCTCAGGCTTATTACTAACTAGCTCTTACAACTTAAATTAACCCATTTTTATTCATGTACACTTTGTCAAGTGGCTTCATGGCTTTACCTATTCTCGAGCACATATTGGTGTTCTGGAGGCTAGCTTGCATCCCTTTCTCTGACTCCACCTTCTTCCTCAGTTTGCTTTCCTGCCTTACCTTACTCTGCCTTGCTATAGGCCAAAGCAGCTTCTTTGTTAACCAATGAGAGCAAAACATATTCATACCACACAGAAGGATTATCCCAGAGCACATGTACAAGTCCTAGGTTCAACCCCAAGCCCCATAAAAACAAAACACAACATACTCCCACCCAAACCAATACAGTGGTTTTGTACTTTCTGTCCATTTGCTCTCTGATAGTCCCGTCTTTGTACCGTTATTTGTCCTACATCACAGTGAGTTCAATACAACATTCCCCATACCCCTCTCTCTGTGAGCAGAGAGAAACACACATACCCATCTTGGGAAGAAGTTCTTTGTCCGCTCCCTTGAAGAAGCACACATAGATCACTAATCCTCTCTGGATCTATGAGAAATCACCACAGGAACCTAGATTAGAAAGAAGTCTACAGAGAAACAGCTCAATGGGGGACATTTTACAATGTTTCCAAGCATGGGGGTTAAAAGCCAAGGGAGAGAAATAAGAATAATTTTGAATTCTAATTATGGAAACCAAACTCTTTCTCCAGTCTTAATCACCATGATTATTTATTCCAAAAGTTAAGATTACAATACAGTAAAAGCTGTGAGGATCACAAATCACACGTTCTTTTGTTTCTACAAAGCCAGCAGAGCTTTCACTCAGCCTGGTCCAGAGCAGGCAAGGCTGACAGACTGAGGACTTAGCTTGCAGGCTGACTTCTCCAACACCAGATGAATTCCACTGTACCACACAGGACTGCTGAGCAAGCAACAGTGTCACTGACGTCCTTAGAGTAGTATTTCCTATTTCTAGAAACTCCAGGAAACTGCTCAATTGCTTTTTCTGTTATTGTGGCCAATGCCTCAAGTAAACCCAACGATTAAGCTTTGGAAATTATACTTACTCCAATAATTGTATATGAAAAGATTGGTTGTTATCAGGAATACACATTTTTTCATCTTATGTAATGACTTGGATTATTTTTTTTTCTGGTTCCTATAAGACACAGACTACAGGAAAATAAACAAGTGATAAATGACTTTGATGCTACTGTTAAAGTGATCGTTTTAGCTGTGATTTTGTGTTAATATGCTTGACTCTGGGAGCCTCACTTGATTCAGGAGCAACCACAAAGATTAAAGGAGTCAATAACTGCAGCTACTTAAAACAGTGCTGAGTTCACAGTATGACACAGGTGTTTATTAAATGTCATATAAAAATAAATTTAAAGGCAAAGGTACAATTTATTTCACATTTTAACTTCCAAAGCATTTTGCATGCTTCATACACAATTGGGACTCAATTTAACAGTTAGCGGCATTTACATTCAACTATATCTTTCTGGCTGTTTATATGCATGGTTTCCTGGTAAACATAGCTCTGCACTCATACTTGGCTTACCTGGAAAACTATTTTAATTGTGTGTGTGTGTGTTTGTGTGTGTGTACAATGGCAGGTGCCTGTGAAGCCTAGAGGAAGCCATCAGATCCCATGAAACTGGAGTTACAGGTGGTTGTCAGCCAACATGTGTGCAGAGAACTGAACTCCAGTTCTCTTCAAGAGCAACACTTGCTTTTAACTGAGGAGCTATTTCTACAGCCCAGCAGTCATTTTTATTTTTTTTAAAGGGGCAACTGTATTATTGGAGCAATAGGCAAGTACTTCTAACAGAATTCTGAGTTTGAGCCCAAGTTTTCCACACAGTCACATTTGGCACCTGGATGCCAGAATTAAGTACCTAGTTATTACCATAAACACCCACACTTCCCAATAACAGACAGCATTACTACTTCTATATGTTATTAATTTCAATAATGTGTCTTAACTTGTGACCTAAAAAAAGTCACTGTGACTTTAAAACGTTCAGTTCTTAGGAAGAAATACATTCCTTTGGGACAGCAAAGTCTACATGATTAAAACTAAGAAGAAGCAAGGTAACCTTCAAACATAATACCTCATTTAAAAAAACTTTGATAATAGAACAGAGTGAAGGATGATTAATTAATTACTCGTCAGCTCCTTAAATGTGTGGGAGGGAAGGAAAAGCCTTTGAAACAGCGTCTAAATTTTATAAACCCAAAGGGACAGTTTGGAAGGCTGCAATAAAACGTGTGATTCTGCGTCAGGAAATGTGGTGGGGACAGCAGAGGAATGATAAAGGGTGGACTCTACATGACTGAGTTCGGAATCTATCATCCAGAAGGCAACAATTAAAATAGGTAATTTTAAAGATATAAACAAATCTTCAGGATCTCAAGGAAAAGAGCGATGGCGAGGATACTGGAAAATTATTTAAAGTAGGGTTTTCTCCACATAGTTCTGGCTGGCCTGAAACTCAGTACACAGACCTGGATGGCCGGCCTTGAACTGCCTTCGGGAGTGCTGGGATTAAAGGCAACGCTGCCACCAAACCTGGTGACAGAGTTTTTAAATGCTTGCTTTAAGACCACCCGCATACACGGTTCATGGGTGATCTTTACTATGACGACAGGTCTGTGTTAAGGAGTGCTGGATGTGAAACCTACCATAGTGGAGGTGAATGAGATTTCCTAAAAATTCTGAGCACAGTTCTGCAGGTGGCTTACTTAAGGC